TCATGATAATCTCCCTTTAGCCTGGGCATGGTGGTGCATGCCTGTGATCCCAGTGGCTTGGGAGGTTGAGGCAGGAGAATGGCAAGTTTAAAGTCAACCTTAGCAATTTAGCAAGGCCCTAAGCAACTTAGCAAGACCTGTTTAAAAAAAAAGATAATCTCCCTTTATTAAAATTCAGTTGAGTAAAATGTCATTTCAGATAAATCAGATAAACTGATTAATTTTTTTTAAAAAAGTCAGTTGAGGACTAGGTTGTAGCTCAGTGGTAGATCGCTTGACTAGCATGCATGAAGCCCTGGGTTCGACTATCAGCACTAAAAAAAAAAATGTTAGTTGATTAATAAGCTTAATTTCAATAGCAACCTTAATAACTTTAATTACCCTTTTCATAAAATATTCATGTTTCATGGATGAGGACATTTTTCAGGTCAATTTTTTTTGCTTACCACAGTTTACAAGCAGACAAGAGAACAGAATTAGGGGAAATCATATAGAAATGTATTTTTGATTGTTTGCAGAGACATTTCTCCCAGTATTTTTGTGGACTGATAATAGAGCTATTTCCCTAGTTAACAAAGGCAGAGTGGACCTTCCACTGCAGGATTTACAATGGCAAATGCCAAGCTTCGTTTTGCAAACATTTATGTGTGTGCTAAGCATTTTAAATAGATCTTTTTGCAGTACTCTATTTTCATGCTGTGAAAGACTTGAAGTAATTATGAGCTTTGGAGTTAGATCTGAACTTAAATTCAGATCTAATTCTACTACTTACTACTCCTATAAACCTTGAGTAAATTATTTAACCTTTCTGAGCTTTAATTTCCTTATCTACTAATGAAAGATTAGTAATTAGCAGAAAAGATTATTGAGGGGGTTGAATTCATCAGCATGATGGTGCATACACCTATAATTCTACAGGTTTGGGAAGCCAAGGCAGGAGGATGGCAAGTTTAAGGCCAGCCTAGGCAATTTAGCAAAACCCTTTCCCCATATAAAATTAAAAGAGCTGAGGATGTAGCTCAGAGGTAAAGTACCCTGGTTTCCATTCTTAGTACTGCAAACAAAACACTAAACAAACAAACTAACAACAAAACCCCAGGAACAAAAACATGTTTGAAGCCATAAGCAAAGACTACATAAAATATGAATTGTTTTTCCCTTTAGAATTAGCTCTCTTGGAATAGGGTGCATAATTCCAGAGGGCATAAATATAGTGCCTGTTGTCAACATGAATTTTTACTTAAATCCTGAAATAGCAGCCTAGAGAGTATGAAGTCTAACAAAGATAAATTTAGCACATAAGAAAGGGAATATTCTTTTCATGTGATGGTAAGTTCATTGACTAAACTCATTAATGTATAAACTCATTAAATTATAAGTTAATGAGTTAAATTATAAGTGTGACATAAACTGAATAAAGCATAGTAGATTAATATGTGTTTGGTAATGATGAAAGTATCTTGGGTTACCAAAACATAATAATAATTGCTTGTACTGTGTGTTAAATATTACATGAATTATTGTGTAAGCCTCTCATTCATTTATCAATTACTAGGTATTATCTCATTTTAGTGTGTTGGGGATCAAACTTAGGGCCTTGTGTATGTGAAGCAAGCACTTTTACTACTGAGCTACATCTTTAGCCCTGAAATATCACTTCTATACGTATCTTTAAGGTTTTAATGTTCTCCACTGAAAACTGAAGGAGTTGTATAGTTTTAAAGTTCCTCTTTTGTTTTAAATATCTAAGAATCTAGAAATCTTCTTGACCTTCATTTCATTTTCTCCCAACTAGACCTCGAAGTGGTATAGAGAATAGTGATGCGGTGAGGTGGAGTGTATGTGGTAGTTGACTTCTACAATTAGATGCTATGTGTTTTAAAGGTTATGATTTCCTTTTTTTTCTCTACAGTATCCTATCCATATTTGCATAAAATGTGGTCACACATTCTTGATTAGTTGTAGACACATATTGTATTGTAATAATACTAACACATCCAGGTTAAGAACTATCAATTTTTTTCACAATTTATTGCACAATGTTGGGTTTAGAGGAGAAGCATAAAGAATGTTATTCAATGTTCTTTGTTGTGAAAAAGTATATTAGCTTACTTTCTATTCTATTTGTTTTAATTGTGGCCAAATAGTTGATTTCCTTTCAAATCTTGATACTTCCTTTAGGTAAGTTTGCAGGAGGGCTCACTTTCTCTCTTTCTCTTTTGTGGCACTGGGATTGAACCCAGAGGCCCTTTACCACTGAAGGCTTGGAGTTTTACAAAACAAATTGAATGCATTTCCTTTTCACCTGTTTAGGCTAATGACCTTTAGTGTTATGCAGAGTAAAGACATTACCTAGCCTCCATTCATAAGAAGTATTTGGTTTGAAAAAGAATAGACTAATTCCAACAGAATCATTAAATGAAAATGAGAAAGTTTAGCAAAGATTAAAAAAAAAAGTCAGTTGAAGAGTCTCTAGGGAACACACATTGTTTTGCTTTGTTTAGACGGAGATAACTCTTTAGTGCCTGCTCTTGAACTAATTTAGTCTATGAAAAATGACTTTCTTGTAGAGGATTTTCTATAACTTTAGTTTTCTGTTGAAACATTTCTCTTTTATGCATAAATGTTTGCCTTTTGTTTTTATTTTTGGGGATGGAAATTGCTTAGACTTATGATCATGGAAGACTGGTCTGTTTTGGAGAAAAATGAACTTGAAAAGAATTCTGTAAAACACAGGGCACACACTTTATGTATAAAAATTGAACTATTGGCTCATAATCAATACAGGACACTCAGTGATAGATTATTTCCATGCTAAATTTATATCAAACATCACTCTCTTATCTCCTAATACAATAAAATAGATGTAGAAGCCTGTGGCCTAGGGAGCGCGCGCGCCTGCACACACACACACACACACACACAAAATATTCAGAGATAGAATCTAACTATATGCAACAGCAGTGATTCTGCTTTACTTCTAAAGGGGCTGAAATGTGAAATGGCCACATACTGTCTAGGCATACAAGTTCCATAGGTTATTGGGGGAAAAAAGTGCATGCCCTTTGGCATCTGAATTCCTTATTCTGTGACTATATTACAGTCCTTCTTTGGACACTTTATAGTGATTAATTTAGCAATGGGTGCATGTGAGTAAATTTTTTTTTTTTTTTTGGCTGAAAGCTGTATAATCTGAAAATTGAACCTACAGATACTTTTTATTGGTGCTAAATTCAGCTTAGGTTCAACATATCCATTTGTAATTCTCTGCAAGAAAGCTTTAAACTTCTTTAACATGCCAAAAGTCTAGGTTTGAATTAAGTGACTAATGCTTTACTTAGTTTTTAACCACTAGTTCTCCTTGCCAAAATCTTTTCAATTCATCCTGAGCCAATGTCATTCATGGCCTGGCAACATACCTTTTCACCTCCTCACACCCCAGTTTTTGATTTTCCAGTCCTTTGGCTGCCCTCTGGTTTCTTCCTTTACATACTTACTTGTCTGACTGGTTCCTAGAAGCCTAGCAGAGATTTACCTGATATAAATCTGACTACCACAAATTAAAAGCTGGGAGACCACACACTCCTCTCTCAATGCAAATATAAATGGATCTAATTTATAAACAAAGAGAATGCTTCTATTTTTTCCTCCAAAACCAAATCATGCATGGGCTTTTAAGGAGAAAATGAAGTGTGAGTTGTCAGAGAAAATGACTGGCTAGAGCAGAGGTTAGCAAAAGACTATGATAGCAGCATAAAAAGCATCAATCCTAGTTATTAGTCAACAGCGGGTTCCACCCCTTCTGTAAAGGTTAATGAGGACAGTTATCTTTGTTTTGTGCACTGGTTCAATTCAAGCTTCTAAAACTGGTTAGCATGAAATGAGTGCCCTATAAATATGTTTCATATTCAAAGGTTGAGAGAATAATTAAAAATTGACAAATTGATATCACAAACAAAATGACAAAGGCTCCCCCACAAAATGTTTCCTGTTTCCAAATACAACCCCATTGTTCTACATCTCTTTATACCCTGCCTTTTCCATTGCTTTTGCCGTTCTAATTCCTCTACATATATACTTAAATCTAAGAACACATATGCATACAAATATCCCTGAAATTGCTGACTTAAATGTTATTCAAAACAAGTTGCTGCTTTTGAATGTTAACTCCTAAAGGGTTCACTGTTTCTGCGCAGCATTCTTTCCCGCCTTCTTGGAGTTGAGAGGGATTAAACAATCAACATTCTCTTTTCCCTCAATCTTTTTCTTTCCTTCTTTTCCCTCAAGTTTTTCTTTCTTTCTCTCTTCTTTTCTCTGCTTTATTTCTTTCCCCCAAACTATTGTTTCTCTAGGATCGTTGCTTGCTTTCTCCCACTCCAGTTAGTCCCTTTGATCCTTTCTTTCTATCCCTTATTCCCAGAAGCTCCAGAAAATACCTTCTTTTCCCCCTTTCACGTCACTTCCCTCCCTTCTCCATCTCCCTCTCCTCTCAGAGAGGTGAGTTCCCCACTAGAGGCCAGCACTTTCTCGATTTCTCCTCCCAACCAAGGAGCAGCAGTCGGAGAGAAAGAAGGGGGGAAAAAAGAGGAGAAAGAGAGAGAGAGGAAAAAACCTAGGGCCTAGAGCGCAGAGGCCCGGGAGCCGCGTCGTCATGGCAACAGGCGCCGGCAGGAAACGAGGGACGCGCGGGAGGGGGGCGGAGGGCGCCGAGGGGAGGGGGAGGGTCGGGGGAGGGGTCCGGCTGCCCCGGAAGCACCTCCCCACCAGCCCCCTCCTCCAGCCCGGCCCGCAGCCCCCGGCCTGCATCCCCCACCCTCTCGGCCCGGCAGGAAGTGACAGGCCCGGAGCGAGCCCCCAGGCCTGGCAGAGCCGCGGCCGGGCCGGCACCCGGAGCGGCGGGAGGGGCGGGGAGCGGCGGCCGCACAGGGCACCTCCCACCCCGCCCTCGGCGCCCCCGCCCCTCCAGGAAGGGGAGGAGGCGAGGGGAGCCCGCCGCGGAGGCCGAGCAAGCCCCCCGCCCAGCCTTGCGACTGGGGACCCCGGCACATGAGGTGGACGCCCCCCGCGAGGACTCGGGTACGGAGCCCGGCGCGAAGGTAACCGGGCGACCGCGGGCCGGGGAGGGGCAGGACCTCTGGGGGCTTGGCTGCGCGGGGATGTTTCTTCAGCCACCTCCGTCTGTGTAACGCCCCAGGTACCTCCCCCAGTTGCTTTCCCTGCCTACCTCCAGCGCTTAGCTCTACAGTCTTTTGGCTCTGCCTGTCCAAGTATAATTGCTATTCATTTCGCTGTGCTTAGTGCTGTCTGTCCGTCACCCCTGTTGCCTCTGACTGCTCATTTTCCCATTCATTTTTACCCTCTCTGACTTTGGTTCTTCCATGCGAGCATGTTTTCTAGTTACCTCCCTGCTTTTCATGGTCCGCTGGGTTCCTCAGTCTCCAATTCCTTGACTTTTGTGTCCCTCCTGCCTGCCCCTGCTCACTTAAATCTGTTCACTGCTGGCACTGTATTTACTCCGTTCCCTCGGTGTATTTGATTTCTCTTTGGACCGGCATTTTCATTAAGGTTCTGTATAAAGCAAGAACTCCTGGGCGTCTGTTATCCTTATTCCGTAGATTACTTCCATTTCTTTGGCACAGTCTTCCCTGAACCACCCTCCCTCTCTCACCTCCCTTCTCATGCTCCATTCTTTCTGCAAGATAGAGTTTTATGCTTAGAGATAGTTGACTTCCTCCAATTCCTGAACCAATTAAGCCCAGTACCAGGTCTACCTCAGTTTCCTTTTCTAGCTTCGGTAGGTCTGTGCGCCTACCCAGCTGAACACTGCACACCCGAATGCTACCTTCCAACATGACCAGGGCTTAGCTACTCTAAAGTCCTCTGTATGTCAGTCTCTCTCTCTCTCTCTCTCTCTCTCTCTCTCTCTCTCTCTCTCTTTCGGTTTAATTCCGAAATTTTCAGTTCATTGTGCCTCCCATACTGTTTGTTGTCTTCACTTTCTGTATTTAATCTTGCAGTCACAACATTGATCGTAAATAGATTTATGTGCCCAGGATCCATTTGATGAGTTTTCCCCGGAGAGAAGACTTTTAAGTTGGCCCCTTTTATTTCTATTTCACAGTCTGAAAAAAAATATTAATAAGGCTTCCATTTTGGGGGAAATGAGTTATTGAGCATTTTTATACAAGCATAGGAATTGTCCCATCTATAGCTAATTTGGGGTCTTATGTATCTCAGTCCAGTGAACTAAGTCCAAAAAAATCTATACAACTATGCTGTGCTGCCTCTAATCCTTACCCACTTTTTTTCTTCACATGCTGATAATGAGGATTCATGGGTCTGTATCTGTTTAGTGCTTTGATATTTTGGCAAAAGATGTGGGGAGAAGGTAGACTGGAGTTGAAGCTGATATGATTTCTCCTTTGTACTTTTTGGGTTATATCCATGTTTGCAGTGATATTTGCTATTTCTAAAGGAAACAGAAGAGATGGGTATTCTTGGGGAATAATGATGTGATTGGATGACATTGGGAATGGAGTAAGGAAAAATCATAATTTTATTGCCCAGGTCAGCTGGTTTAATTTTATTTTCTTTGCTTGTTTGTTTGTTTGTTTTGGATGCAATTTCTAAGATAAATCTGTTCGCCCTAATAAAACTGCTGACAGCCCTTAGTAGAAATTCTGGTTTGATGTTTACATTCCTAAACCAAATAGTGCTTTGGTGACCTGATATATGTAGTGGCTTAGTGCCTCAAAAGTAGAGAATAAAGTGTGCAAGTTTAAAAGAGGGAGAAAAATAAGAATGAGCAGCAATCCATGTTGTCATTTAGTGCTGCTTTGGAAGAATATTTCTTTTCATCTCCTGTCTCTTTGCTTGGTTCTCAGTAGTATTTACATATGGGTTTTGCAAATTTAGTGTAGTTCTGAGAGGCTAAATTCTGACACTTTGGTAAAAACTAAAAGGTGAATATTACTTTTTTTGAAGATTTTCATTGTTATATATTTAATGTTTAACCTGTTAAGATGACATAGTTCAATCAGTGTGAAACCTTTACAAATCCAGAAACTGAGGTATGTAAGGAGGAAAAATGACATGGTTTGAGATGATGTTATTAGTAGTATGGACTGAAGCCAGGTAACAATTTGTGCTATATAGACTGAAGGCTAACTCTTCTGCTTCCAAGTTTTATACCCTTCCATGATCCATTTAACATCTTCAGGCCCTCCTCCTTGACATGAGGATAATGATTGCTCATACTCAGTGAATGGTACTGCTTTAATTACAGATTTTTTGACTAGAAGAAGATATGTACTAATGTAAAGATTTTTAAAAAATATTTATTTTTTAGCTTTAGATGGACACAATATCTTTATTTTATTTTTATGTGGTGCTGAGGATTGAACCCAGTGCCTCATGCATGCTAGGCAAGCGTGCTACTACTTGAGCCATAACCCCAGCCCCTAATGTAAAGATTTGATACTCAGAAAAACTTTATATTGACAATTACAAACAGGGACAATAATCTTTTACTTTATAGCACCGTGAGATATAATACAGATCAAGCATCTAACCCAGTGAAAGAAGGCAGCTAGAAGCTTTACTGTAAATGATGACCATTGCTAAGATGACAATGATGTAGGTGAAGATAAAAATAAGACAATAGCAAGTTTGGGGAGATTTTAAACTTAAAAAGTGCGAAGCGGGTGTTAGGTCGCTTTACCATTTCTGAGTACTATGTTGCTTTCTGGTGATTTTATTTAATGACAAGCATGCAAAGATTATTTCCTTTGAGACAATTAATAGCTTAAAAAGGTGGTGGGGTGGGGCTGTTGAGATTGTATTGTAGATTGGGGAATTTTAGAGTTTTCTCTAAGAGAAAGATTTTTAGATAACTTATAGATTTACTGTGGTCTTGAATAATAACATGAAAAAAACAGTTCATTATCAAGGTGTAAATTTTAATCCTTTACTCCTTCCATCTAGGTCTTGGCTCAGACCACCACCCTTGGGGACCCTGGAACACTATCATGGAGACTGAGAGCGAGCAGAACTCCAGCTCCACCAATGGGAGTTCCAGCTCAGGGGGCAGCTCTCGGCCCCAGATAGCTCAAATGTCCCTGTATGAACGACAAGCAGTGCAGGTGAGGCTGAAGTCTGAGGGGCTAGGATCTGTGAATATGGGCTTGTGTAGGCAAAGATGCTGAAAGGTAATTGTTTTTAGTTTCTTTTAAGCAGTTGGAGGGAGTCAGTTGGATTAGGTGATGACTAAGGCTTCTTCCAGCTCTGAGAAAAGTTGGGACAAACAGAGAGTGAAATTCAGTTTTTCTTTTCTTTTTTTTTTTTAATATAATTCCTTTTTTTTAAGAGAGAGAGAGAGAGAGAGAGAGAGAGAATTTTTTAAATATTTATTTTTTAGTTTTCGGCGGACATAACATCTTTATTTGTATGTGGTGCTGAGGATCGAACCCGGGCCGCACGCACGCCAGGCAAGCGTGCTACCACTTGAGCCACATCTCCAGCCCTGAAATTCAGTTTTTCAACTAAGGATTTTTTTTTTTTTTTTTTTAAAACTAGTATTCAGCCATCTAGCTAGATTCAAACTAACTATTTCTTTTCATGGATTGACAGGATTTTACCTTTGACTGTTCTTGTAAATTACCCTGAAGAATGGAGAGGTGTCATGGACCTCTCTCTCTCTCTTTTTTTTTAATAATAAAAAAATATACATATATATTTATATATATATTATATATTTTAGTTGTTGATAGACCTTGATTTATTTATATGTGGTGCTGAGAATCGAACCCAGTGTCTTACATGTGCCAGGCAAGTGTGCTACCACTGAGCCACAGCCCTAGCCCTCATGGACCTCTTTAAAGATTTATTTTTAGATAAATAACAAATTTCAATTTAAAAATTTTAAAATTCTATTGGGGATTGAGACCTTTTACTTAAAAGATTTTTCTTGCTAGAATAACTATGCATGTAATTAGAATAGTTGTAATTATTAAAATTTGAGAGGGTACTGGCAGTTGAACCCAGGGCTACAATACAGTCCCAGACCTTTTCTTTCTCTCTCTCTTTCTTATTTTACTTTCTATTTTAAGTTAGGGTCTTGCTAAGTTGTCCAGGCTGGTCCCCAACTTACTATCCCCCTGTCTCAACCTCCCATTTACAGATGTGTACCTCCATTCCTGGCAGAATGTTGTAATTATTAAAGAATAAGAATGCAGTAAAATCTAGTTAACACAAAAACTGAACTACCAATAACATTTTCATAAACATCCTTAATCATATTGTTGGTATTTGAAATTGTCAATTGAAAATTTTACCTGATAGAATCTTTCAGAAGCCACTAATTAATTTTCTATTATTTATAACCCCTAATGGCTCTTTACCCTTTACTATATGCCTAGAATATGGTCTTTCACTTTCTTCTTCTTTTTTCTTTTGGTATTGGGAATTACCATAAGCTACATCCCCAGTCCTTTTTATTTTTTATTTTGAAACAGGGTTTTACTAAGTTGCTGAGGCTGACCTTGAACTTTCTATCCTCCTGCCTCAGTCTCCCGAGTCTCTGGGATTACAGGCATGTGCCACTGCACCTGGCTTATTTTCTTCTTTTCTTTATGTTAATTGATATCCTGTTTATTTTCAACCTGTTAGTCCTTGCTACATCATATATTTCTAGGTCTCACATTGGACATAAGAATTCATATGAAATGTACTCTTTTCTTTATATGTGAGGGTAGACCATAGAATTAGTTGTTTCTCCAGTTTTTGGAGATCTACATAGACTTGCTAGTTTTAATATAAAAATGGATAAATCAGATGATTTAGCTCAATCTCCCTTCTCTTTGGTTTTTCTCCTTCCCATGGCTATCTTTCACACTAGTACAAGGATTTGAGTAGAATAGGAGTTAAGGAGTGATTTGTTCTAACTGTTGCATCCTGTCTTCTCCTAGGCTCTGCAGGCATTGCAGCGGCAGCCCAATGCAGCTCAGTATTTCCACCAGTTCATGCTCCAGCAGCAGCTCAGTAATGCCCAGCTGCATAGTTTGGCTGCCGTCCAGCAGGTGAGAGGTCAGCAGCCAGCTGACCCAAGAGGGAGGGGATAGACACCATGGGTGGATAGGGGACTTTTGTGGAATATTGCATCCTCACTAAGCCAGACTAGGGGCAAAGTCTCCTTTGCTTCCTGTGCTTTTATAGGAGCATGGATACATCTTAGTTTCTGCAGTTGCAGTAAGAACTGGGGAGGAATCACCTTTTAGAGGTAGAATGGCTATGTTCTAGACCTGTTCTGAATGCTTGAAATGTCTTTAGTCCAAATTAAGATGAGGTCTAAGATTTTCGACTTTGAAGACATAGAATGACAAAAAGAATGTAAAATATCTCAGTAATATATTAATACTAATTACACGTTGAAATGATAATATTTTAGATATATTGGGGAAAATAAGTTAGTGAAGTTAATGTCCCTTGCTTCTTTTTACTTTTTGAAAAATTGTACATAGTAGACAATTATATATGTGGCTCACATTATATTAGTATTGGACACCTATACCCTGTATTTATTATTGACTCATGATGTGGCCTGTCTAAAAGTTTTTTATCCACCTAAAAGAAAGTGGGAACAAGAAGACATGTTGCCTGTCTGCTCCAGGAGGGTTATGCGAGGGTTGTTGGGTTGGTGAATATACTTTCCCATACTCTGTTATTACCTGAAATCTCTATATATTTTATGTCTGTGATTTATTACTGTAAGACTGAGAACATCTTTTTCATTGTCTGTACTATTTCTTGTTTCCCTTCCACTTTAATAGGCCACGATTGCTGCTAGTCGGCAAGCCAGCTCCCCAAACACCAGCACTGCACAGCAGCAGACTACCACCACTCAGGCCTCAGTGAGTACTGCCTCTCTCACTGAGCCCTTGTCCCTGGGTTAAACTACTTAGCATAGTTGATTTGAGGGTGTTTATTGAGCCATCAAGTGGATATTTACTATTCTAATACAGAACATATTAGTACTAAAAGGGAAGATAACCAGCTTGCATCTGTACAGGAATCTTTAACAAGGAACCTAAGGAAGGAAGAAGAAAACACTGATGAAGAAAAGAAGATAAAGGAAAGGGGCTCTGTTAGAAAGAAATGACACATGTTTCATTTCATTATTATTTTATTACCTTTTTGTGTGTTGGAGTCCTGGGGATTAAACCCAGGGTGCTCTACCACTGAACTACATGCACAGCCGATTTAATCCTTTTTTTTTTTTTTTTTTTTGGTGAGGCAGTCTCACTAACTTGCCAAGGCTGTCCTCAATCTTGTGATTCTCTTTCTCAGCCTTTTGAGTTGCTGGGATTACAGGTGTGTGCCACCATGCCTAGTGCCATTGCATATTTTTGCCTTCTCAAGTATTAACACAAGTGGTTAGGATCTATCTATCTATCTATTTGTTTATTTATTTATTGGTACTGTGGATTGAACCCATTGATGCTGAGTTACAAAGTGGTCAGGATTGATCCTATTTTATTTATTTATTTATTTGTACTGTGAATTGAACCCATTGATGCTCAGTTACATTCCTCGTTCTGTATTTTGAGGTAGAATTTCACCGACTTGCTTAGGCCTAACTAAGTTGTTGAGGCTGACCTTGAACTTTTGATCCTTCTGCGTCAGGCTCCTGAGTCACTGGGATTACAGGCATGTGCCACCAGACCCATCTTTATTTTATTTTTGACTTTGGTTATACCAAGGTAGCCAGGATAACAGTTTTGGATAGGAAGTTATTATGCATTTCCCTCTGACTCCTTGAGAGTGAGATATTCATTTATTGACTGGGTCACTCTGAATTTGTCAGTCATGTAACTTTCCTTTTACCTCTCCCAAATCCTTAGTCTGGATTCCTTTGTGTCATGCAGATTAACCTGGCCACCACTTCAGCTGCCCAGCTTATCAGCCGATCACAGAGTGTGAGCTCTCCCAGTGCCACCACCTTGACTCAATCCGTGTTGCTGGGGAATACTACTTCCCCACCTCTCAACCAGTCCCAGGCCCAGATGTATCTGCGGGTAAGCTGTAGACATAGTAACCGTTGTCTTGGGGACATAAGTTCCTGTTTATACTTTCCATGCCAAGGACTTGAGTAAGAGCAATTTTATTTATTTGTTTATGTATTTATTTGTTGTTTTGTGGTGCTGGGGATCAACACCAGAATCTTACGATGCTAGACAAGCACTTGACCACTGAGCTACATCCTCAACCTGAAAACTTTTATGTAACTTTGGTTACCAGATGTTTTGAAACAAGTTGATCTACTTCCCATGTCTTAATTTACCCTTGAAGTGATGATGCTCTGTATTCACAGGTAGCCTGCAGATTATATTGAGATTCTAAACTAATATTTGGCTAAATTAGTGTTAGATGTAGTCTAACTTTTAAACCTGTGATTTAAGTATACAAATCGTTAAGGGTTGTCTTTCAGCTTATCTACTAACTCAGTCTAAGACCCTTGTTTCAGCTTCTTTGATGTTTGAGTCTTTGTTATCAATCCATAATTTTCTGTACATTCTAGGTTTTTTTTTTTTCTGGATGATTTATTTTACATATATATATATATATGTAAAATATATATACATATATACATATATATATATATATGCACACACACACACACATACATACACGTACACACACATATACATACATACATATGGAGAATAAGAGATTCCTGGGTTGGTGTGGAAAGGGACAGGGCTTAGCTATTTAATACCTGCTGTTTATTTTTTCTTGTGGTCCTTCCCTTCTATTTCTTCTGTCTACTCTTTTCTTCTTTGTTCTTCTTCCTCCTCTCCTTGCCAGCCACAGCTGGGAAACCTATTGCAGGTAAACCGGACCCTGGGCCGGAATGTGCCTCTAGCCTCCCAACTCATCCTGATGCCTAATGGGGCAGTGGCTGCAGTCCAGCAGGAGGTGCCATCCGCTCAGTCTCCTGGAGTTCATGCAGATGCAGATCAGGTCAGTGGCAACCACTTTACTGTGGATGGGGTCTGGGAAGGATGAAGGGAATGGCCTAGACTAGGGACTACCCTCTGCCCCATTATTGCTTTTCAGAACTCTTATTTTTTTGTGTGGTGTTTTCCCTTCATTAATCCCTATAAAATGTGAATTCTTTAAAGCTTTTGGGTTGACTTGATTTAGAAAGGATAGAATTGTCTGAAAAGAGCTCTGTGGATCTGGCGAGTCTTACTTTGAATACAGGATAAATTTCCAGACTATACTTCTAGTCCTTGGTGATTCAGTTTTATTCAGTCTTAATTCTTTCCCATAGTAATGTCTCCCGAAGATAAGGAATGGTCGAGGGAATTCTGTTGTTACACGTGAAGCAGACCTGGCTGAGTTGCTGAAGGAATATTTATTTTCTTCTGCTCATGTCTCTTACTATCATTCTCAACTTTTAATCTTCTGTTCATTTTTTTCTCTAATAAAAGTCTTCTTTACCATTACTCTCTATGACTTATTTCCAAAATACATATATTTTTTTTAGCTTATTGGATACATTATCAAAGTAGGATTTGATAATGATTATTTCATTCTTTTAGTCTATCAGTAAGTAATATTGAGCCCTTTTTATTGATACACTCAGATATGTATTAGAAATTTTGGAGGATCAGAAAGGGATATGTCAAGTCTTCAAAGAGGTTGGAGAACAAAAGCACTCAGGTAAATGGTACTAACTTTGAGTGTACCACAAGTTTATAGAGAAGACTTGGTTGCAGGATACCTGAGTTACCTTAAAAAGGCTGGGTAGGATTTGATTTGGAATGAGGAGAAAATGAGAGAGAGCACCAAGTGTTAGGGTATAGGTCATATGTGTAAATATGAGTGTATGTGGAAGGGTAGAGATGAGGATAAAGGAGAGATAATAGGCCTGTGGTAGAAGAAGTCAGTGCTAATGAGCAACCTAAAATCCAAGAATAGGAGGTTGTAGTCAACTTCATAGGCTGTAGGGACCATTAGTGATATTTTACAGCAGATTACAGGATAAGAAAGTTCTTTAAGAAGAATCATTGAGGCCAGATGTGATGTTACACATTTGTAATCACAGCTACTCAGGAGGCCGAGTCAGGAAGATCACAAATTTGAGACTAGCCTGAGCAATTTAGTGAAACCCTGTCTCAAAATAAGAAATAAAAAGGACTGGGGATATAGCTCAGTGGTAGAACATTTGTCTAGAATGTGTGAGGCCTAGAGTTCAATCCCCAGTATTGGAAAAGAAGAGAAAGAAAAAAATTATTGAGGAACAAAGCATGTGCCTGGATAAGAGACACTAGGAAATCTGCTTGAAGACCTTGGTCAGCTAGTTATATAGTCTTTGTTTCAGACTTTGCTAATAACAGTGGGAGCCAAGAATAAGGCTGTCCTCCTTCCATGTCCATTTTTTTCATTTACCAGTTCATTCATTCATCAAATCCTGGGGTATCAATATGTTGAGGGACAGATGGTAGTGGTTACAATGTGCTCTGTTGTTTGGGTCAGATTCTAGCTCCATTACTTACTGTGCCCATGGGCAAGTGACCTGGCATCTTTCTGCTATGGTTTCTTTATCTATAAACTAGGTATTATAATATACCTGCCTGATAGTGTGTATGAAGGACAAATTGAGTTGATGTGTGCAACTGCTTGAACAGTGCCTGATCATAATATTTAAGAGTGTTAACTGTTGTTGACATATCACACATTCTTAGCCTTGGAGGCCCAGCAAAGTCATGATCACTATGTTTATGGAAATTATAGCCATCAAAGCAGTAGATGTTAAACAGTAGATGTTAAACACCATTTAGTGAATGGTGTCATAATTGCTTTACTGCAAAGTACAGGATACTCTCAGAATAAGGGATGGGGGGATAGAAATCAAAGAGGTGACATTTAAATTAGAGCTTATAGAAGTTTGCCAGGTATGGATGTGGGAGAGTGTTGAAGGCCAGGAGAATTTTATGTCTAAAGGTCCTGAGGAGGGAAGGAACTTGATTTATTTGAAGAATCAAAAGAAGGCTTGTTTTGCTGACATTTGGCAAAGGGGGCTAGACAAGTGGGAGGAACCTCATCTTGCAGGGCCTTGGTGGCTGTAATTAGGTTTTTGAGCTTTTTGTAAAGGGTAATAGGAAGCTGTAGAAAGATTTAAAACATGGAAGTAATGGGGAGAGGTCTTTTTTGAAAAACCGTGTGTACTCCTCTGTGGACACTAAATAAAATGGTGTGTGAATAGGGAGAATAACAGTGTTAGAACAGTTTAGGAGATAGATGGTGTTTGGATTAGGTGTGTAACAATGGAGTAGAACAGAAATGTGTAGATATGAGAATAACTTAGAAGAGTCATAAAAGAAGGTGAACTGTTTGAGTAGACAGGGAAATTGAGGGAGATGTTGGCTCCGAGCTCTTATCTAGCAGTCGGATGGATGGCTGTTGATAATGTTCATAAGATGGACATTGGAGAACTGGATTTAGAGTGAAGCTTAGGTTTAGACATGAAGACTTGAGGTGAATGTGAGCCACGTGAAGAGATATTGAGACAGCAATATATGGTTCTTAAATTCAGAGGTCTGGGTCTGAAGTAGATATGTGAAAAGTAGACATATAGATAATAATTGCAGCCACGGTAATGTTTACAATTTCTTAGGGAGATGGTATGGATTAAAGAGAAGAACATGGGATAGGGAGCCCTGAGGGTTAGGATGAACCCTTACTAAAGCAGTTCAAGGTTGGTTAGAGAGGAATGGGCTGATATAGAGAAACAGGAATGACGGATAGGAAAATCTGGACTCCTTAGTGTCATGAAGAAAAGGGAATAAGATGATACAAGATGGAAATATGTGTAGGGGAGTGCTCATCTCTTTTGAATATAAGAAGATGGATGGATTTATTTATGTGGAGGGACTGCTGCTTCAGTAGAGTTGGAGGGGGGTTGAATCCAAAATTGTATGAATTTGAGGAATGAGTGGATAGTGGGATTGAGTACAGTTAAGGTACACAAGAATTTAGCATTGTTGGGGAAGGAGGACAAAAGTGGGGAAAGGGAATGTCTTGTTCATAGATGCGAGGGGCTGATAGAGAAGGGGAGGTTGAAGAGATGAGATAATTTCTGTGATAAACTTGCTGAGAAGACAGGAATAGATGGACCCAGAGCATAGAGAAGGATGGCCCTTTGATAGGAGGAAGGAGAGAAGGGGAAAGGAAGGAGATACATGCTGGTAAATGTATATATTGGGTGGTAAAACTGTGATGAGGTATGTTCATATAATGGTTTTTATGTTCTCTGCAGAGGTGAAGAGTAAGAAGAGAAAGTGGTTCTTTCTTTTTTTGTACCAGGGATTGAGCCCAGGGGTGCTTAACTACTGAACCACATCCCCACCCCTCTTTTATATTTTTATTTGGAGACAGGGTCTTGCTGAGTTGCTTAGTGCCTTGCCAAGTTGCTGAGGCTGCCTTTGAACCCATGATCTTCCTGGCTCAGCTTCCCAAGCTGCTGGGATTACAGGCATGTGCCACTGCACCCAGTGTCCCTCCTGCCTTTTTAAAATTTTGAAATAAATAAAATATAATTGTTAAGTTGCTGAGGCTGGCTTCTTTTAATCCTCCTGCCTCAGCCTCCCGAGTCTCTGGAATTATAGGTGTGTGCCACCACGCCTGCCTGAGAAAGTGGTTCTAAGGTATAGGGAGAGTAGGAAAGTTGGAAATAGCTATTGTGAGAAAGAAGCTGATTTTTAAAATGGCATAATTGCCAGATATTATGTGCCCTAGTGCCCAGTCTTGATGTTCTTGTTTTGTTATTGTTGTGTTTGTTTTTTCAACCCTGAAGGTTCTTGTAAATTTCTCTCCAAAGCTAGATCCTCCCTTTTGCTGCTTCTACCTGAATTCAGGTTCTTATTTTTTACCTGACTTACTGTATCAGTTTCCTAAATGGCCTTCTTGACTTCACACTTGTCTTCTTGTGATCCTCTTCCATGTTATTATCACTGTTTTGAAATAAGAAAACATATTGTTACAAATTAAAAAAAAAATTGTTCCTGTGATACACAGAATTAGATAATTCATAGTCTTTGACTACAGTAGTCCTCATTGGTCCACTTTTATTTATTTACTCAGTAATTTCTTAACAAAATAATAAGTAGACTAGGAGTATAATTTCCTGGTAAAATGTTGTTGGTCTAGCATGTGTAAGGCCTTGAGTCAATCCTCAGCACCACAAAAAATAAAAGTGTAATAAGCAGTCCCTACTTCCATACACTGCCTACCCCTACCCATGATAATAATCATTCTGATTCCTAGGTTCATTCTTCCTTTGGGTCCCTTTTATATAGTCTTATTGCATCTCTGTATATTTCTAAAAATGTCATCTTGGAGGCTGAGGCAGAAGGATCACAGGTTTGAGGACAGCCTCAGCAAATTAGTAAGGCCCTAAGCAACTTAATGAGACTTTGTCTCAAAATAGGAAAAACAAAAAGGGTTGGGGATGTAGCTTATTGGTAAAGCACCCCTGAGTTCAATCCCCAGTACCAAAAAAAAAGAAGTACTTTTGATCATGAAAAATTTTCAGACAAAAATTATTGGCACGTTGCCATTCTATTTAGGTCCTCTGCTTGTGGATTAATTTGAAGGAAATCCCAGACCCTCACCCTTCTCTCTCTCTTTCTCTCTCTCTCTCTCACACACACACATACACACATATACACACAATTTTTGTTTAAATTTATGAGGCACTTGTATATAATCTTTATTTGTGAGAATACTTTTTTTTTTTCTTTTTTTTTTTTTTTTTTTGGTGGTAGTACTGGATTGAACCCAGGGGCTCTGTATCACTGAACTACATCCTTAACTTTTTAAATTTTATTTTGAGACATTGTCTTGCTAAATTGCTAAAGCTGGCCTTAAATTTGTGATCCTCTTGCTTCAGCCACCTGAATCACTGGGATTACAGGTGTGCACCACTGTGCTGGGCAGAGAACACTTTTCTTTATGGTGGTGTGTTTCTATGTTGCCTAGACTATCCTTGGACTCCTGGGATCAAGAGATCCTCTTGCCTCCGTCTACCAGTGGCTGGGATCACAGGTTCACACCACTGCACCTGGACTGAGAATGTTTTTTTTTGTTGTTGTTTTTAGAGAGAGAGAGAGAGAATTTTAATATTTATTTTTTAGTTCTCGGCGGACACAACATCTTTGTTTGTATGTGGTACTGAGGATGGAACCCGGGCCGCACGCATGCCAGGCGAGCGTGCCACCGTTTAAGCCACATCCCTAGCCCGAGAATGGTTTTTTTAACTTATTTTCCAATTACTTTTATTGATCATGTAGGCAAAAGAGTACCTTGACTGAGAATACTTTCTTAATAGCATATTTTCAAGTTCTATTTGTTTTGTAGCCATCGTTGATTAATTTTAATTTCTATATAATATTATATAGTATGAATATACTACAGTTGTTTCATTTTTTTCTTCTTTTTTTATTCATCTTCTCTTTTTGTTTTTCCTTTGGAACTGGGAATTGAACCCAGAGGTGCTTAATCACTGAGCCACATTGCCGCAGTCTGGCTGGGCACAAATGCCGCAGTCTGGCTGGGCACACAATCACGAGCCACCACACAGCTTGTAGATTCAAACAGCAACTCTTTATTCCCGAACTCACACCAGCCGTCTACAATCACGTTCTGGGGAAATCCACGTTCTCTGCCCAAATCCACGTTCTCTGCCCAAATTCACCTCCACTGGGCTTCTATCTCCAAAATATACTGTCTAAATCCCGTGAGAACTCAAGGGGAACTCAGGCAGCAGGATACGCCCTATTCCCAGCAGGAATAATCTTAAACCTTAAACCTGGAACCTAAACCGGGAACGCCCTAATCCGCCTTGGTCCTTGAGCAAGGTCACCTACATTCAATGTCACTGCAACATGGGGTACGCTGGCAAGGAAATTGTCATACCTACTTGGCTAATGGCTCCCAGCACCACATCCCTGTCCCTTTTTACTTTTTAAATTTTGAGATAGGGTCTCACTTAGTTGAATAGGGCCTTGCTAAGTTGCTGAGGCTGGTTTTGAACTTGCTGTCCTACTGCCTCAGCCTCCGAAGTTGCTGGGATTACAGGTATGTGCCACCATGCCTGGCTTCTTTTTCTCCTATAAATGGCAGTTTGGGTTGTTTGTAGGCTTTTGTTAATCTCAACAGTGATGGTGTGATAATTCCTGTATATGCATCCTGTTGTATATGGTAGGAATTTCCCTTGTGGAATTCTAGGTTTCAGGGTGTGTATGTGCATGTGCACTAAACTAGACCCCAGCCCTTGGTAATGTTTGTGCTGATTAGTGTTTTCAGTGGCTTCCTATAATCATTTAGGGAGTCATAATTTCTTCTCTCATTCATAGAGCACTATGTGCTAGTTGCTGCATGAAGTGCTGGGACTATATAATGAATAAGACATAAACTTGCTGTCTAAACTGAAGTTCAGATTATCCTTAACACAATAGGCCCTTAATAATCTAGTATGTTTTTAGCTTCCAGCCTCAACCTACCTTCCTTGATTCATTTCTTTGTACTTCCTGCAACTCAATCCAAACATAATGAAATAGTTATAATTTCTTTTTCTTTTCTTTTTGGTACTGGGGGTTGAACTCAGGACCTTGTGCATGCAAGGCAAGCACTACCAACTGAGCTATATCCCCAGCCTGAAATAATTATGATTTCTGAAAGTACAGTGCTCTTTTGTGGGTTTGTGTCCTTGCAAATGCTCTTAGCTATTTCTTCACATCACCATCTTCACTATGACTTACAGTCTTAGATAATATATCACTCATTTTAGGAAGTCATTTTGATCTCCCCAGTGTGACTTGATTTTCCTCCTCTGTATTTCCATAGAACTTTATTTATATTTGTGCGTATTATTACATAATTTTATTAGAAAGTTTTTATTAGGAGTAAAGACTGTGTCTTTCATACCTGCATTATCAGTATTTAGTGTAGTATTTGAAGTGTAGCTGGGTAGTAACTGCTGAATGAATGAATGAATGGAGAGGAAAGGGAAAATCAAAGAGATTTTCTAGGAATAAATGATAAAATTTGATGATAGTCTTAATAGTGAATGGAGGAGGCTAAAAAATCAGATGTATCTACAAAGTTCCTCCTTGGGAGACTAGAAGGCCTTTAATATATGTTGGAGGTGGGGGTACAAGTTGAGGTAGGCTATGAATAAGACACTATAGCTATCTGCTGTTTTTTAATCAATCAGAGAAATCTGTTTTTTAAATATTTTTCAGGTGCAGAACTTGGCAGTGAGGAATCAACAGGCCTCAGCTCAAGGACCCCAAATGCAAGGCTCCACTCAGAAGGCCATACCTCCTGGAGCCTCCCCTGTCTCTAGCCTTTCTCAGGCCTCTAGCCAGGCCCTAGCTGTGGCACAGGCTTCTCCAGGGGCCTCAGGCCAATCTCTCAACCTCAGCCAAGCTGGTGGAGGCAGTGGAAACAGCCTCTCAGGGCCAATGGGTCCAGGTGGAGGTGGCCAAGCTCCAGGGGGTTTGGGTCAGTTGCCTTCTTCAGGAATGGGTGGTGGAAGCTGTCCCAGGAAGGGCACAGGAGTGGTTCAGCCCTTGCCTGCGGCCCAAACGGTGACTGTGAGCCAGGGCAGCCAGACAGAGGCAGAAAGTGCAGCAGCCAAGAAAGCAGATGCTGATGGGAGTGGTCAACAGAATGTGGGCATGAACTTGACACGGACAGCTACACCTGCGCCCAGCCAGACCCTCATTAGCTCAGGTATATTATCACCTCACATAATATCATAAATCTCTCAGAACTTATTTGAAATCTTTCAAATTACCTTTCTTTGCCCCGTTTTTCGCTTGGCCCTGGAGTAGTGGAAGGAAAGAGAATTACATCAGCCTTGAGTGTATTAGTTCAGGGACAGGAAAATAGTTAACAGATAAAGGTCTTATCTGTATCTTCCAGGCAACAATCAGGTTTTAAGTTACTCTTGTTTACTTTCCTAGGCCCCTGAGTTCTGTAGTTTACTCATTCTACTTACTAATGAACCCAGTTCTTACTGAATTGCCTACTGTGTTCTAGGAGGTGCTGATACATCTTTCTAAAGCAGATTCTGTGTCCTCATGTTACTTACAGTTTAGTATAGGATATTAATTCTGTTTAATGGTAGTTAGTTGGTCCAATGTAGGACAGATATAATATAAATACTTTAGCCAGGCATCGTGGCGCATGCCCGTAATCCCAGTGACTCTGGAGCTGAAGCAGAAGGATCACAAATTCAAGGCTAGCCTCAGGAACTCAACAAGGATCTAAGCACCTTAGTGAGACCCTTACTCAACATAAAAAATAAAAAGGGCTGCCCCTGGGTTAAATACCCAGTACCAAAAACAAAACAAAACCCAAAATGTTTTATATATATAAATGTTTTAGAACATTTAAGATTATCAAATAGAACCATGATTTAATATAGTCAAATTGTGATCATCTGTATCAGTGATGAGGATAAAAAGGAAAACATAATAATAATAGCTGTAAGTAGTTTATACTTCCTTTCAGATAAGATATAGTGGGTAAAATATAGTTAGATGTATCTTCCTTGGTAATGTTAATTTTTTTCTGCTTTCTTTGTTTCTAATACCTTAGTTATTGGTATGTTTGAATAATTTGGTCACAAAAATTTAATGAGTTAATTAGACATTACTAATAACTAGGTATTTAAATACCGTAGCATTTGTGTTTTTTTTGAGGTACTGAGGATAGAACTTGGGGTGCTCTACCACTGAGCTACATCCCCAACCCTTTTTATTTTTTATTTTTGAGACAGAGTCTTACAAAACTGTCCAGTCTGGCCTTGAACTTGTGATCCTCCAGCCTCAGCCTCCCAAGTAACTGGTATTACAGGTGTGCTCAACAGAATACTATAGCACTTATATATCCACAGTGCTCTCATTACATATTTTATACATACTTTATGTGTTCTCTGGACAGTCTGGTAAAATATGGAAGGTTGGAGATTGTAAAAGTCTGAGCCTGCAGCTACTGACTCCTCAGAGTTCTTAGATGGTAACCTAACCTGATGAATTTTTGAAAACTGAGACATTGATGAAAAGATATTGATGTCTCTAACTTTGTTGGTATTTATTCTTTCAGTGAATATTTTTTGTGTGTCAGCACTGGACTCTGTTTAGGGGTGTGAAAGTGAATAAAACATAGAATCAGCCTTTGCAAAACTCAAAGTCTAATCACATGGAGAAAGAGCCAACCTCTGTACTCCTGAATACAGAGTAAAAGGATAAGTTTTGTTTGAAATTACTGAGTTAGGATGTTGATTGAGCCAGGGAGTTTTTCTATGGTATCTACACTAGATAATGTTTACGTTTAGTAATGTTTTGACTTAGTGGAAAGAATATGAATGAAGTGATGTCCAAGTTCTGTACAGGCTAGATTTCTATTCAGTGTAGTTTAAAACTAGGTAAGCCTTGGAAAATGATTTTACTTTTAATTTTGAAGGGTTATTATTTTCTGTTCTTTTTTCCCCTTTGTAATATTCTGGGTTTGTTCCTATAGCCACGTACACGCAGATCCAGCCCCATTCTCTGATTCAGCAGCAGCAGCAGATCCACCTCCAGCAGAAGCAGGTAGTGATCCAACAGCAGATTGCCATTCATCACCAGCAACAGTTCCAACACCGGCAGTCCCAGCTACTTCACACAGCTACACATCTCCAGTTGGCTCAGCAGCAGCAGCAGCAGCAACAACAACAGCAGCAGCAGCAGCAACAACAGCAGCAGCAGCAACAGCAGCAGCAGCAGCAAGCCACAACCCTCACTGCCCCTCAGCCACCACAGGTCCCACCTACTCAGCAGGTCCCACCATCCCAGTCCCAGCAGCAAGCTCAAACTCTTGTAGTTCAGCCCATGCTTCAGTCTTCACCCCTGTCCCTTCCACCTGACCCAACCCCTAAGCCACCCATTCCCATCCAGTCCAAACCACCTGTAGCACCTATTAAACCTCCTCAGTTAGGTGCTGCTAAGATGTCAGCTACCCAGCAACCACCACCCCATATCCCCGTGCAAGTTGTGGGTACCCGGCAACCAGGTACAGCCCAGGCACAGGCTTTGGGTTTGGCACAGCTGGCAGCTGCTGTACCTACTTCCCGGGGGATGCCAGGTACAGTGCAGCCTGGCCAGGCCCATTTGGCCTCCTCACCACCTTCATCCCAGGCTCCTGGTGCACTGCAGGAGTGTTCTCCTACGTTGGCCCCCGGGATGACCCTTGCTTCTGTGCAGGGGACAGCACATGTGGTTAAGGGTGGGGCTACTAGCTCTTCACCTGTTGTAGCCCAGGTTCCTGCTGCCTTCTACATGCAGTCTGTGCATCTACCGGTGAGTGATGTCTGATGCTGCTACCCATGAGAGTGGACCTGTACTGAATGGAACTAGAACTCAAATTGAGTAGGGGAATGAAGTGTTGAGAAATTTGGTACTGGTGTTTATGTGCTCTTTTTATAAGAGTCATAGATTTAATATGTATAACATCTGAACTTTGTACTTGTAAATCATTCTGAGGTTTGGGATATATACTAAGTTAGATTGAGGTAGCCTAACTAGCTATCCCACTGCTTGATATTTTTCCAAAAGATCTAAAATTGGTATGCTGTAGCAATATAGTCTCTTCAATGTTTATAACAGCACAATTCACAATAGCCAAATTATGGAATCAACAACCCAGGTGCTTGACAGTAGATGAGTGGATTAAAAAAATTGTAGTGTGTGTGTGTATATATGTATTTATATGTATGCGCGCGCACACACACGCACACAATGTAGTTATACTTAACCATAAAAAAATAATGAAATAGTGGCATTTGCCAGTAAATGTATAGAAATGGAGAATATCATGCCAAATGAAATAAGACAAACTCAGAAACTCAACTTGAATGTTTTTTCTCATGTGGAGGCTAGAGTAAAATAAAGGAAAGGGAGAGGGAAGGATAGGATGTCATAAAGATAAAGGGGAGATGAGTAATATGGAAAAATGAGTTTGAGAGGCAGTAGATGAGTAGATGAGGGAAGGCAATGCAGAATGAATTCTTAAAAATCATGTATTAATATTCCACAGGGATATATAAATATTTCATAGGGAATTTCACTTTTATATATAAGTAAAAGGAACCAATCAAATATGAATAAATAGATGAGCAAAGAAAGTCTAGTAGAAGAAGGAGAAAGCAGAGGGGAGAGAAGATGCGAAGAAAAGGAAAGGATCATGAACTAAAATCAAAATTCTATGTATGTATGAGTTTGTCGGGATGAACCCAACTACTGTGTGTAACTGTAAAGCTCTAATTTTAAAAAAATGAATAAAAAATTGTATATATCTAAAGGAACGATAACAGCAAAGAAGAGAGCCTTAACCAAAACAATCTTTGGAAAGACAGTTTTTGTTTGGGCCACAGTGGTCTAAGTTATGACTATGCATTAAAATGGTATTGCATTTTGTTTTGTCCTTATGTAGACGTTATACTAATTAGGGATGACCAAGAATTTAGTGTATATGAAGCAGGAGATAGGGAGTTCAGAAAGTCTTCTCTGAAAGTATAGAAGTAATTGTAATTCCTTTTCATTCTTTATGCCTAAATCTTGTTTTTTTTTTTTTCCCCTGTTGTTTACTGTACAGGGTAAACCTCAGACACTGGCTGTGAAACGCAAAGCTGAGTCTGAGGAAGAGAGAGATGATATCTCCACTTTGGGTTCAATACTTCCTGCCAAGGCTTCTCCAGCAGCAGAGAGCCCAAAAGTCATGGAGGAGAAGAGTAGTCTTGGAGGTAACTGGTTTCTAAAATGCTATTATTGAACACACAAAGAATAGAAAATTATTCTGAAAGAGCTACAGATAATTCTGGTTCAGTAGAAAATGGGCCTAAATATTTGGTAGATCCAGAAATATAATCAGAGGGTGAATGATCAAAGGAGAACATAATTTATTGTGGAAAATCAGGCTGGCTCAGCTAATAGGTGGATTCATTATATTATCCCATATTTGTTCTTTAATGTGTGTTTGTTTTCCAGAGAAAGCTGAACCTGTGGCCAATGTGAATGCTAGTACCCCAAGCAATGAACTGGTAGCCTTGACTCCTGCCCCATCAGCACCACCTCCTACACTATCCATGGTGTCCAGACAAATGGGAGACTCCAAACCCCCACAGGCCATTGTGAAGCCCCAGATTCTCACCCACATCATTGAAGGCTTTGTTATCCAGGAAGGAGCGGAACCTTTCCCGGTGAGAACAGGGCCATATGGTGGGACTTCAGGAGGGCATTTGGTCTGATTTTGTCTTCAAATTCCTCTAAAAACAAAGGCAGCTGGGCACCAAGCCTGTAATCCCAGTTACTTGGGAAGCCAAGGCAGTAGGATTGTGGGTTCAAGGTCAACTTCAGAAGCTTAGTGAGGCCCTAAGCAACTTAGTTCAACGTGTCTCAAAATTAAAAATAAAAAGGGCTGGGGATGTGGCTCGGTAGTAAAGCACTCTGGGTTCAATCCCAAGTACCAAGAAAATAAAAAAAAGGTACAGAACTTATTAATTGTTAATTTATTAATTATTAGAGAATGATTTATTTATTTTGTTTATTTAGTTGCAAAAGAAGGAAAGGAAGAAAGGAAAGCACATATGTTTGTGGACCAGACAGTAAAAATGTTGGGAAGAGAAGAAAAGGAAGAAAATCACCTTTTAAAACTTTTTAGATAGGTAAACTAGGTATTTTTATAATGAAGAAAATTATAGTAGAGAACTTTTCTAGAATATGAGTTACAGAACCAGGATTATAACCCAGGTATCCTGATTTTTCTTGTGTCCCCTGTACCTTAGGAAGGGAAGGATAAGATAGAGGGAACCAGGCTAGGAACTTGTTCTCTAGTAGCTTATCTGAAAAAAGTAGAAGATTCTTGATTGCAGTACTGTAAGGAATTTTCTCTGAGCCAGACTTGACCATTAACTCAGAGATGCAGGCAAGGACATGATGATAGGAAGTGTTAGGGAACACTGTAGAGAGGCAGAAAGGAATTAGGCTACCTTAATTAAAAACTTTTTCTGGGACAGGTGGGTTGTTCTCAGTTACTGAAGGAGTCTGAGAAGCCACTACAGACTGGCCTCCAAACTGGACTGAATGAGAGTCAGTCAAGTGGACCCTTGGGAGGGGACAGCCCTTCTGCTGGTAAGTATTATTTAGAGACCCACCTGGGAGAAAGAGGCTCATGGGAATGTTTGAGGACTCAGTGTAAAATAGTAATTTTCTGTTTATTTAAAGTAGGAATTAGATGAAGTCCATCTATACACAGAAACCATATTGTATATCAGAGTATATAGAATCACACAAAAGGAGTTATAGGGTGAGGAGTGTTTTACCAAGCTAAAGTAACTTGTTGAATTATCGTTTACTATATAAGGATATATTTTCCAAAAGATGATATAGGGGCTGGAATTCTATGGTACAGTGTTTACCTAGCTGGGTTTGATCTTCAGCACTAGAAAGAAAAAGAAGAGGGACATTTAAATTATTTTTAAAATATATTTAATAGGTACATTGTTATTATTCATAATAGTGGGATTTGTTATATATGTGTTATGTGCACACAATATAACAATATAATTTGGTCAGTTTTATTCCCTTTACCTCCTCTTTCCTTCCCCTCCTCCCTCTCCCTGTTCCCCTTTCTCTACTAGTCTCTCTTCTATTTTACTGAGGTACCTCCCCCTGCCCTTTTTTCCTTTTTCTCCTTGGTTTCCACATAGGACATTTAAATTCACAACTTCCTGCTCTCCTTATTTTAGATTTTAATAATCTATAGTGAGGACTTTTATTTAAAATTTCCTCCATGCTTTTGGAAATCTTTGTGGGAGAGGGATTGGATATCTTCCTAGGCATTAATAATTAGTTCCTCTTTCCTATTTAAGAAATGGAGTCATATTGAAATCTGAGTTGAATTAGGATAAAATTAGTAAGACATTTAAAATGGAAATAATCAGGCTTAAAGTGGAAATAATAAGGCTTTAAGGGCTGGTGGATACTGCAGTGCACACCTGTAATTCCAGCTACCTGGGAGGCTGAGGCAGAAGGATCACAAGTTCAAGGCCATACTAGGCAATTTAGTGAAACCCTGTCTTAAAATAAAAAATAAAAGGGACTGGGGATATAGTGAAGTCTAGTATAACCATGAGCTCAATACCCAGTCTGGAAAACAAAAAGGGAAGACTTTGAGGACTTTATAATCTTCTTGAAGGGTAATTCATCATGGTGTTTGGTTTTAGGAATTCTCAGTTTGGTTGTGTAGGTCTTTGGGAAAATTAGAATCCAACTCTTGGTGTAATATGATTTAGGGGCAACAAAAGCCCATCGTAACTCTCCTTGTTTTTCAGAGTTAGATAAGAAGGCGAATCTCCTGAAGTGCGAGTACTGTGGGAAGTATGCCCCTGCAGAGCAATTTCGTGGCTCTAAGAGGTTTTGCTCCATGACTTGTGCAAAGAGGTACTGTGTGCATTGCCTGCCTTGCCTTGAGCACTAGTTTCTCCATCTAATGTTACCTTGCTTCCCCAGGGTCATCTCACAGCGAACACACACTTTGTGTCTCTTTTGTTTTCATTCCTTTGTCCAAATCAGCTCCTAAAGTACCAATTGCTGTGTGGGGCAGGGTAGCAAATATTCTCTTCTAGTGCCTTGACATCCTGTATATGCCCTGATTTATAGGTACAATGTGAGCTGTAGCCATCAGTTCCGGTTGAAGAGGAAAAAAATGAAAGAGTTTCAGGAAGCCAACTATGCTCGTGTTCGTAGGCGTGGACCCCGCCGTAGCTCCTCTGACATTGCCCGTGCCAAGATCCAGGGCAAGCGTCACCGGGTGAGCTGTTGTTACTGAGCCAGCTATTTCTAAAATAGGCCTTTTTCTTTCCCTTGCAAGGCAATCCTTTGCCCATGTGAAAGGATACAAGACCAGAACTTTGGTTTCCTATTGATTGTGTTACTTCATATTCTGAGAGATCCTGAGTGCCTTTATCTCCTTTTTCCTCACTGCTGGTTCATATATCTATTAATCCTTACATTGTACTTAAGCGAAGACAATCTAGATCTCTTTTAATACAAGAAGAGAATCAAGGAAGTTCATACTTGAAAGGCACTTGAGAGTAGACTTTGGGCATTTGCAAATAATGTGCAGATTATTTCACATACGTTAAGACTAGTTTTCCCGCTATGTCTAAGCTAGGGTGGTGGTGGAGGGAAGAGAAGCATTCATGACACTGTTATTCCTGACTTTACTGTTTTGTCATTTTTTTCTATAGGGTCAAGAGGACTCTAGCCGGGGTTCAGATAATTCCAGTTATGATGAAGCGCTCTCCCCAACATCTCCTGGGCCATTGTCAGTAAGAGCTGGACATGGAGATCGTGACCTTGGGAACACCATTACAGCTCCCCCCACACCAGAATTACAAGGCATCAACCCTGTGTTCCTGTCCAGCAATCCTAGTCGTTGGAGTGTAGAGGAGGTGTATGAGTTTATCGCTTCTCTCCAAGGTACAGAGGGATCTCTAACAGAACCCAAGTCTTCATTTTTCTTGGATCATTCCACATGGGCCTTTGTATGAGGGAACATTACTAACCTGTAAGCAGCATGGGCTTGAATGTGATAGTACTCTGCCTTGATATTTATTCAAGTTGCTTGCCCACAGTTTGGTTTCTTAATTTCCTTCTGGGTTGATATTGTCTTCTACTGTGTGAGAAATTTTGCAATTTGGTTTTTTTATGATTCAACTTTATTTCTCACCAATAATTTTTGGATAAAAATTATTTTGATGTGATTAACTACAATTCTCACCATGTATAAGGTTTTCCCCTTTTTTGGTACTGGGGATTGAACCCAGGGGTGCTGTACCACTGAGCCATATCCCCAGCTTTTTTAATTTTTAATTTTGAGACAGGGTTTCACTAAATTGTTTAGAACTTGTGATCCTCCTGCCTCAGCCTCCCAGGAAACTGGGATTATAGGCATGCACCACCATGCCTGGGTAAGACTTTTTTCAGTGAAGAAGGGCGGGGTTAGAAACTGAGGGACCATTGTTGGCCTATTTTTATTCAAGATAGGACTGTTCTCCATTAAAAAAACCACCCTGTCCTCATTATTATTTGATATAATCTTTTTGCCAACATACAAGAAAACATGCATATATTATTGCTCTTTCTCTCTGGTTTTATTTTAAAAATTTTTTGAGCAATGGGGACACTTCATTTATTTAACACATTTGCATTTTACAAAGGATTTTCATTGACATTTCATTTACTCTCAGAACATTGCATAGAGCAGAACATTTATAACATTTCACAAGTCAGGAATTGCTGCTCACCTTTGGCAGTATTTCTTTGATTAGGGTACTCTCCTTTGATTATTTCCTCTCACAAAAGGCTCGCTCTTCTGTTATTTTCCTTAAGGATAGCTGGTTTGGGGCCTCTCCTCTTATATACTCTCACTAGATGACATCATGTATTTTCATGATTTAAATCATCATACATAACTGACATCTGCCAAATCTATATAGAGCTCAGATCCTTCCACGAGCACCTGATCTTCAAATACACAACTACCTATATGAACTCTCACTTTACATCAAACACGTCTAAAACTTTTTTTCTCCACACTTGGGTGTTCCTCCTATATTCCCTATCTTGTCAAACTGTACTACCAGTTGGTCCAATGATGACAAACAGTGCCCTCTGCAGCTTTCCTTTGGCTGATTTCAAATAATAACTTTTTGTATAAAGTCTCAATTGATTACCAGCAGTTGCCAAGCCATCTAGAAATAAATGAGCAGGGGCTATGCCTTCCTTCTTGTTTGAAGTAAGTTCTTTTTTTGGGAGTGGGGTGGGATACTAGGGACTCGACCCAGGGGCTTTAACACTGAGCTACATCCCCAGCCCTTCCATTTTTTGAGACAGGGTCTCACTAAGTTGCTTAGTTTCTCATTAAGTTTCTAAGACTGGTTTTGAACTCATGATCCTCCTACCTTAGCCTCTGAGTCGATGGGATTACAGGCATACGCCACCATGCCCAACATGAAGTTACTTCTATGGCTGAACAACTTAGGTTATTATTCCTTTCTTGATGTTGTTTTATTCTTTTTAGTATTGGGGATAGAACTCAGGGGTGCTCTACCTCAGAGCTACATCTGTAGCCAATTTTTCATTTTTGAGACAGGGTCTTTTCAAGTTGCTGAGGCTGACTTTGAACTTTTAATCTTATTGCCTCAGTCTCCTCAGTTGCTGGGATTATAGCTACATCTGGCTTGTTTTTCATTTTTAAGATAACCAGTGTCTCTAATTTCATTTTTGCTTTCAAAGCTTACCATCTTATACCTTTATATTACTGAATTTAGGGCAAAGACTTTGGGATTGTTTCTTCTCTCTTGTTCTACCATGCAGTTTCTAATACATGGTCTCACCATTGCCTTCTAGGCTGCCAAGAAATTGCAGAAGAGTTTCGTTCCCAGGAGATTGATGGACAGGCCCTTTTATTACTTAAAGAAGAACATCTTATGAGTGCCATGAACATCAAATTGGGCCCTGCCCTCAAGATCTGTGCCAAGATAAATGTCCTGAAGGAGACCTAAGGTGGCCCTCTTGCACAAACCAGCCGAAGGCAGACACTCCCCACTGTCCAGGTTATAACCTGGTACCAGCAGACTTTGCAGGGAAGAAAGAGCTATTCGAATTATGTGACCTTCTGTAGGGAGATTACTGAGACAGGGAAGAGAAGTGCAAGAATTGGTTGCTGGTGCTACATAGTGGCAGCTTTGATATTTTCTTTAGGTTTCACTTTAAAATAATCTTTACAGTTCTCATCAATCCCACCTACCCCAATCCAGTCTTTGTAACAAAGGCAGTCCAGAGAACTAGGACTACTCAGCCTTATCCTGGAGTGCAGCGTCTAGCCAGGGTTTTCCAAGAGGAGAAATATGTGTATGGTAAGGCAGGGAAATGGGTGGAATGTAGTTTTGCTTCTCCAGTGGGAGAGGTAGGGTTTTTCTAGCTTGTGTGACACAAGTAGCAAAATTCTGGTACTTTCCCTCTTCCTTCTGGATTGTCCCACTGTAGCTGTGGCTCAGTATTTTGTTATCACTTATTCCCTTAGTATTGAATATTTTTCCTGCATCCATGGCAGGGTCACCAGCCAGGGTAGAAACTTGGTTGGAATTTTTCTGATTTGCTGCAGGGACTAAAAGTGTTTGACTGGCACATGGTGTGGCTGTTGTCATTTTTTCCACATCCCCCTGCTCCCTTCCAATTTACCTGTTAACCTTTTACTCTTTCAATTCCAACTTTCTTTCTTATAGCTTTATAAAACAGGAGTGTGTGGGGCTGAGGTCAGGATTATAAGTACCTACCTTAGGCGCTATTCCTTATACAACAAAATATTAAATATTTTTTTTTCCTCCTCAGTAAAGGATGAAAATTGGTCTCAGTGGTCTCTTACTCCATTCCAGTAGCTCTACCCTCCTGTTTTTCACAAATGACTAGGCCAGCATGTTTTGTTTGTTTTTTAATCATTAAGTGTTTTTGTACAAAAGTGGTGTATTATTTTTCATTTAAAACACCAGGGTATGGGGGAAGGATGCAAACAAATAATGACAAAGGAGATGCTTTTATAACATTATTTTCCCTGTTTAGAAAGAAGAAAAACAAAAACATTCCAATAGTATTAAAGTCCAAAGATGAAATAATTTCATTTCTTCTCTAAAGGTTTATAAAAGGCCCCCTTCCTATTGATTCTACCCCTCTTTTGTGTCCAGTGGAGCCATGTTACTCTTAGTGGCCCAGGGGTTCACTATTATAGACAGAAATATCAGCCTGGGATTCTGGGCACATGGCCTAAATAGAAAGATAGAAGCATCAGAGGATTAAAAACCTTTCCCCACAGAAATGTGGGCAAGAAGACACTTCCCTGAGCCAGCAGAAGGGACAGGTGCAGCAGCATTCCACACCCAGAGCAGAGGACCTTAGAACCCTCAGTGTTCCACTTCTGCTTCCATTCCCTTTCCAGAAGATTTTTTTTGGGGGGGGGCGGGTGGGTGTTCAAAAACCAATATGCCTGTGAAAAAAAGTGCAACATATGTTTACAATACTGGTAGAGGGAAACAAGAACAGCTTTTACTACAATAGAAGAAAGCTGTCATGGAGATCCAAGCATAAGGTAAACATATTTGCTGATTCAACTTGTCTTTCCAATGGACTAGATTGCTGGATTAGGCATTTTGGCCACACATGGATTGATAACCACAAGACCACAATCCAGGGCCGGCCCAATTACAGCTATATCATCCCAATGACAATGGTGTGATGGTACCTTATAATCCTGTAATTAGGAAATTTCACATTTTCCTGTCTAATCCCAGATGTGGGAGATCAAATCTAGAACATTTGGCTCAGACCAAATGGGAATACTTGGATTGCAACCAAGTAATCACTACAAAGCAGATCCAAGCAGCAAGAAATATCATCCAGATTCTCATGGAGACTATCGTAGGGTAGAGTTATAGCATGAAAGCAATCAAACCTGTATAAATAATGCTTCTTTGCTTTTTCTTTAATTAAAGAAATCCAGTGTCTCAAAAATTTGTGAAAATGCATTAAAAAAGAAAGGGCCAGTGACCCTTTTGCCCACTTTTAACTGTCCTACCTGTACCCTCTGATAGCAAGAGAGTGCAGCACCTCTGTTTTCACGGGTCTCATTATCTCTTAAAAGTAACACCTCTCTAAAAGAAAAACAAGATAGGGAACAAAGGGAAGGAAGTTCTAGTGAGAAGAGGATGCAAATCAACAGCAAACTGGAAAGCAGGAATGATATAAGAGCAAGAATGGAGTAGAGACTGCTTGAGAAATCTGGCTGAGTATGCTTTGGTTTGGGGGACTAAAGAGGCTGGACATTTTAAAGTGCAATCACATTGGTAATAAATGATCATCCCTTTCTTCTGACTCCTCTCCCAGCTGGTCATCCCCCACACCACGATATGCAGCAGGCACATTTCGGGGTTTAGAACGACACACAAAGTCACAACCATCCTGTAGGAAAAGCAAATGAAATGAGAGTTTGGAATATCCGACTTAAAAAGACAAAGTTCATATTTATGGTCTAAGAATGTGACAAAACTGGTTTTTGCCAGGGATAATGACAAACTCAAAACATCCAAGGATTAGCCTAATTTCAATTTAGGAAAACAAGTGTATCTTCTAATTAGGCCACAGCTTCTCTGCTGCATCAATCCCCAATCTGCCCCAGTAGCAATCTGGGAGATCATCAAATTCACAGTATTGACCTTCCAGCCACATCTTAGCAAGGCCAGAAACTTACGCTATGCCACTTACTAGTTTGTACTAGGACAGCCAACTGTTTTGACTTGAAGGGACTTTTGTAGTATTAGCACTCAGTGTCCTGTATCCCAGGAAACTCTCAGCAAACCAGGATAACTGGTTACCCAACCTTCTATGAAGGCTATAGACCCAGCCAGTTGCCTTGTTACTTACTGCTACCAGGTTGCCAAGATCTTGCCAGAAGGCTAAGTGGGGAAACTGCTCCATTCCCTTGGCTCCCACCACTAGTCGCTGGTATAAGAAACCTCCAATGACATAGACAGCAACCAGTGATGCAAATCTGTAGAAAAGACGTGTACTTAAAGACCAAAACTGAACATGGTGGTATGAGTCTGTACTTCCAACTTGGGAAGCCAATACAAATCATGATTTTAATGCCAATTTGGGTCAAATCAAAAAAATACTCAAAACGAACAGAGAAAAGCTAAAACTCAGATACTAAGGATGACCCCTGTATTCAATGTTAACTGTTTCCTAAGCTACATTTGTGGAAAAGGGATGGTGGGGAGAAGGTAGGGGGTGGAAGGGAAGCTTCTTTAGAAAACCAGCTACGAGTGTTGTCAGTCTGACAGAAACAAAGGCTCAGAAGAAAATGTGACCTAGTGTGTAACCAAGGAAACCAGATACATAATTCTGTTTTTCTATAGTTCTAATCATTTTAATAGGATAGTATTCAAAACTGTCCAGCCTTCCAGTGGATTAAAAAAAAAAAAAAAAAGCATCTCCAAATGCAAACACTTGTGGGGGACTAAACATTAAATCTAATTTCTTAAAAACCTGCAATAGTTTATAGTCAGAGTATGTTTACATGATCATCTTTCCTAATTTAGTATAACACATGCACCCACCACCATTTGTGCCTATATACCACCAAGTAGCTATAGGAAAAGAATACTCACATAACAAGTAAGATAGAACCCACGCTGAGGTGGGAGACCTCTGGGGAGCAAGCCAGGCTGCTATCCATCTCAAAGAGGTAGAAACAATCTTGGACTTTGCCTCGCTCCTCAGTCACAGGATTAAAATTGTCCTAATGAGAGGACAGAACACAGTGTTTGTGATAAAATATCCAACAAAAGAAAAAACCCAAAAACCATATTGCTTCCTCCTGGTTCAGTAGTCTACTTCCATTTAAGATGGAAAATAGGTGTTGGACATAGGGAAAATTGACCTATACTTTTCTGTCCACCCCAATGTAAGAATCTTATCCCCTCTGAATATTCCACCTCAGGTCAATCCTTTGAATCTCTTCCCTAGGTTTATATATTCCAGGGTGCCTCACCGCTAGGGTATGTCGATTGCAGGAGATCATCACCACTGCACGACGCTGCTCCTTGCCACAGTGGTTGTCATATTCATCACCCCCTTTATAGATCAGCATGATCCAATTACCTGAGGAGGGACAAGGAAAATGGTGCTATGGGGTAAGGGGGAAAGGAGAGGCAACTCTAGGTAGTATGGCAGAGTGGAATTAAGGAATCAGTGAAATTAGTTTTAATTAAAATAACCCTTATGGGAATGAGCTCTGTATATCAGATGTGCCATGCTAAAACTTTGCTTCTTTACAAAGCGTGTTCCCTTGTTTTAGGAACTAAGAACCACATATCTATGTAGGAATCATCTTAATTTTCCACATTAAGATAGGCAACTGGTAGTGTGAAAATAATTATTTTCACCTTAACAAATATTTGTTAAGGTTCTATACCTTAACAATGATTCACGTTTTCAGAACACCTGCTAATACCAAAAGAAGAAGTAATTATAAATCATTTATTACCAAAAGAAGAGCAGCAGGGAGAAGATGAATTATTTGCAAATTCAAAGTGGATGATTTTATTGAAATGGTAATGCATTTCTCTTCTTTAGCATTTACTATGTTCAATGTTCTTTTGCAAAAAATATCACCTGACTTAACAATCATGTAAGGTCAATAAGGTAAGGATTTTACTTCTAATTTTTTTTGTTTTGGGTACTGAGGATTGAACCCAGGGGTGCTCAACCACTAAGCCACATCCCCAGCCCTATTTTTTTCTTTTTAGAGAGAGGGTCTCACTGAGTTGCTTAGCATCTCGCTGTTGCTGAGGCTGGCTTTGAAATCATGATCCTCCTGCCTCTGCCTCCTGAGCCACTGGGATTACAGGCTTCCAATTTTGCATGTGAGAAAACAAGGTCAAAAAGGTAAAACAATTTTTCAAAGTCATTAGGAAATATGATGAGCAGTAAAGAACCCACTCATCTGACCCTAGCCATAAAGCTCTTGTGTTATGTTTTATTATATTATTTAAAGGAATAAATATCTCTACTAGAGACCTTAGTTATTTGTTTTTGGGATGGAATTAGACCATAAGTGCTCATAGACTCCTTTACAGCAATATGATTTTATGACTTGAGAAATATCACCACTGGCACAAGTTGATGGGGAATATTTTACAGATTAATTGTTTTGCAAAAAGTCTTGATCTCTTAAAATTTAACTGGAAAGCTTTGGTTAATTTGGTAGGAAATGGTGGTGGTTAGTGTGGAACTAAGTATTTGGGTGAATAAAAGGTCTACAGGCCACACAATTTTGGTTAGACTGTTCTTTTTTATATGTGTATGTGTATATGTGTGTGTGTGGTGGTACTAGGAACTAAATCCAGGGGTACTCAACCACTGAGCTACACCTCCAGCCCTTTTTATTTTGAGACAGGATCTCACTAAGTTGCCCAGGCTGGCCTTGAATTTGTAATCCTCCTGCCTCCTGAGCTGGGATCATAGGCATGTACTGCCACACCTGGTTTTTCACTACCTTCATACATGTAAATGTTCTCAACTGTGGTTTCAGGGCAGCAGTGGAACTAGGTGTCCTGTGGTTTATAGTCTTGGAT